GAGGAATTCTATCAAATTTAACGACGAATTTGAACGAAAGTGCGAGACCTGGATGTGTTTTGGACGACGTTTTATTAAATGTTAGGGATTAATACATAATTTGTGATATTAGTTGGGGGTTAACTTTTGAGTACAAGAATTATTGGGTGTTAGATTACACATTGAATAATAAACCATAGGGGTGGATTTATAAGGTTTTAAAAGTTTTGAGTGTAATTGGTAGGGGAATGGACATTAAGTGGTATATGTGTGGGAGAGTGAAGTTTAGGGGATCTAATGTAATTAGGTTAAACTTTTGGTGAGTCAGCCAAGACGGGTGTCTTCTCTAGCTTCTCTCTCCTTTTTTCTTCCAAGCATATACCAGTATTTATATATATACATATATACATGTGTGTGTTTAACGTGAAGTTTCCAAGAGAGGGAGATACAGAAAAAGAGAAGGGGAGTGAAAAGGGAAAGAAAAGGAGAGATTAGGGAAGAGAGGAAGGGAAAAAAATATAGAGGTTAGGAGGGAGAGGAGCCGAATTGGGAGGAAAGTTCTCCCGCGGAGGTGTTTTGGTTCGAAATCAGTGTAGAACGAAACCATTTTTCTTAGCTTCTTTGATTCAAAACAATTCTTCAAGAAGAATTGTAAGAGAGTAACTCTTTCCGGTAAAAAATTCTGCTAACAATTCTCTGTGTTTAGTTGTTTAAAATATGGGAAAAAGATTGGATTTTGGTGTGCTAAATTCCGGATTTGTGGGAGAGGTTTGAATTTTTCGGTTTATGAGTATGAATCTTGAATCTAGTTTAATTAAGGTTTTGCGTATAGATAAATGGTTAGAATTGATGATGTTGATGTTCGGGGGTTATTGGGTTTTGATAGAAGGAGGTTTGGGATAAAGGGGAAACGAGAAAGGGTGTTTTTAGATGTAGGAAATGGTGTTTTTATTGGTAAAATGACATTATGCCGCTAGAAATACAAAATTTTCACCATTTTTGCTGGGGTACTTTCAATGTGATATCCACTCAACCTCAAATCTTCTATGAACGTTCTAATGAGTTTAAACTAATTTTAGTTGATTTTATTCATCTACAAATACATTATTAAACCTAAAAGTTTGGATACATACATTATAATAAATGATGAAAGGGATATTACTTTAAGCTCGATTAATCAATTATATGTGGGCTGCATAATATCACGTATTGTAAATTATTTTTATGTGGTTTGTGGCGGCATACCAACGTTAGATTTACCTAGAGTTGTACATAAAGACTAAATCTATGTTTGGATTTAAACTGAGGTGAGTATATTAATTCACATTGGTTGGAAATGTGTATGAATAATTATTTGCTATAATTATGTGATTATTAATTTAGTATTGTGAATTGATGATTGTTTATGAGTTTGAGTTGTGGATTGAAGGATTATGTGATTTTTCCTTGATTATAATTGTCAAGACTATTGAGTGTAAATTATAGCGATATAATAGTCAAGACTGCTAGACGTAGATAGTAATAATGAGACTGTCAAAATTATTGGGTGTAAACAGTAGTGATATGATTGCCGAAACTCCCGGACAAAAATGAGTAGCGTTATTTAGTATTGGATATTAGATGTTGAATATTTGATGTGAATTTCATTTTAAATGTGTACATGAGTTATGATTATAACTGCTTAGTGCTTATGCGNGTATTGGATATTAGATGTTGAATATTTGATGTGAATTTCATTTTAAATGTGTACATGAGTTATGATTATAACTGCTTCGTGCTTATGCGTTTCCTTTTAATATGTTTCAAATATATTCACTTAACGTGTAATTTGCTTACCCACAACAGTTGTTTGATTTCTAGTTCCCATTATTTAGGAGTTGGTCCACAGAACAGCTTAAGTTGATGTGGCGGTGTTGACATTAGTTTGTATACTCTGTTATTTGTTGTTTGTACACATGTAGGATATGGTGCACAAGTTGTAAAACACACTGTTGTCTTGTATGTTTACAGTAAAATATTTATTTAGCGGATGAATTGATTAATGAAGCATATGTTATACCAGTGTGGTTTAAATAATTACTTTAGGATTGATAAGTTAGGATTACCCACACCCTAACACCTTTTTCAGGATGGGGTGTGACAGGAAAGACTATATTGACACAAATGTTATAATTTAGAGATTAAATTGATACAAAACGTAATTCAGGGATTTTATTGACACAAATGATATGGTTCAGGAGGCAAATAGAATGACTACTAGAAAACATTTCATCCATAATCCTAAAAAAAATACCCAAGTTAACCATAAAGGGTGAGCCTAGTGGTTGCTCAATCACCCGATAAATCACTCATAAAGAAGTAGGTCAAGGGTTCGAATATCTCATTAAGCATAGCCCCTTTGGCTCACTGCCCATAAATTTACCCCCTTGTGTGAAGAGGTGGCTTTTGTATGAGATCTAATATTAGTTCGGTACGTGAACGAAGTAAAATTGTGGTGATCTATTATAACAGTTGAGATATCAAAATAATTAAAAAATACTCAAGTGAGAGTGAAAAAATCCAAAGTAGGCATATAATGAAATCCTAACTCAACTCAACTTAATAAAACCCTGTTTCAATATTTTTAGGGTCGACTATATTTATCTTGTTTTGTCATTGAGCATATTCATTACATTCATATTTCATGTTTGATCTAACGAGTTTTACACGGGCTATAAGTTTTCTAACGCAATCCTTCTTCTTTATACGAACTTGGGACCGACAATGCACAGAAGTAACAGGCGGAGTTAAAGGCATCCTAAATCAGAACATAGAAAATTAGTTCTTGCGATGGAACGGATTGACCCCCTTTTTTATTAAAAACAAAATTAAATGGAATTGATTGTAGTACCGAATTTTTATTCCGGTACTATATCTTTATTTATCACATTTATGATTATTTTTATTATATTTGTGTGTATTTTTATAACTATTGTGATACTCAAAAAAATAGTAAAAATAATTATCATAACAGTGATAAAAATATTTATAAATATGATAAAAATACCCACAAAAATAATAAATCACCCATAAAAATAATAATTTTTTTTTTGTTGTAAAATAACTTATAAAAGTTATAAAAATACCAATTACAGTAGTAAAAGTTAAAGATACGGTACCAATTTTTTTTCTTTGAAACTATAGTCAAGTCCAAATTAAGATAATAAAACTCAATTAGTCAAATATGGTGTTTCCTCATAAATAGTTTTTGTTGGATAAGTCTAGTCACAAGCACATGTGGGTATCATAATTCATATGAGATTTTGTTGAAGATGTTAATTTTGATTTTAATTAATTTATAGTCATCGACTACAAAAACGACAAAATAACAAAAAATCTGTAATAAAAAAATATACACGTATTAAATTTTCATTAGATAACAAATAAAATAGGGTTTTTTCACACATGGTACCTCAAAAGATATCTTAACTCTCACTTTGTATCTTGAAAGATTATTTTTCTTACATTGTACTCTGAATGTCATAAATTAATTCAAATGTGGCTTTCGGACTAACATCTATTTCAAATTTCGTTAAAAATTGATGCACATGTCACCCACGTATATTGCTCTTAGACAAAATATAAACTCACAATTCATTTACTTGGATAGTATGTGCATCCAGGGGCGGAGGGAGGCATGGGCCAGGGTGGGCAAGTGCCCCCCCCCCCCCCCCCTCAATTTTTTTTTTATTAGTTAGGTATATATGTATTATATATTTGTATAATATATTATTTGTGCCCATCAAAAACTCAAGATAAAAAATGTTAGGTCTACATTATTTATACAAAATAATTAAAAAATTAAGCTCATTTAAAACAAAAATTTGAGCCCACCACTATCTACCTAAATTTATTAAAAAATCAAAATTTTGACTTATCACAATCTACCCAAATTTATTAAAAAAATAAAACTTTTGGTCCAACATTAAAAACAAAACTTTTGGCCCCCCCTCAATTTTTTTTAACTTCATCTTGAGAATGTATTTTTTGAAATAAAATTTAGACATATTTAGTTGTGTCCACCCTAATATTGTGTTCTGATGATATTGATTTGAATAAACTCCTACTTAAATGATTGTTAACTTTTTGAACAATGTTATCGAAACTTAATTTAAAGACTTAATACATTGCAATATTTAAGTATAATAGTGAATCTTAATATTTAATAAACTCTACTATATATTCAATGGTCACAAATCATTGGATCTCCATCAATTAAATCTCAAATTAGGTCCAACTAATATAATTGTTAACTTTTAGACATGTTTTAGACATGCCCGAATATGTTTTGAATATATTGATATTATTTTATAAATTTTTTAAATTGTAGGGTTATTTAGTTATTGTATAAAAATGTGTGTCATTATGTAATAAATTATAGGATTGTAAATGGAAGATTGTTACTGTAATTTTATATATAAAAGAAATATTGTTGATAAAATTAATTTGTAATTCTTTCAAATAATAAAAACATATCAGAATCAATTATAAGTAATAATAATTAGTTACATTTTTGATAAGAAGTTTTAATTATTATTTTTTTGTTCATGTTATGTATATCGATTTTTAATTTTTTATGTTTAAAATGTATTAAATATAATTTTAATAAATATAAATTTATGAATTTTTACGGTCTATTAAAAAAAAATTAAAACATGCTAGTGCGTCCATTCTAAAATTTTTTTTTGGCTCCGCTCCTGTGGGCATCAATTTTTTTGAAACAAATGTTAGTTCTAAAATCACATTAAAACTAATTTATAACGTTTAAAATGTACCATGAAAAAAATTATAGAAATTGAGATTGCCAAACGAAATATCTGGTGTGGTCCAAGTGATCCTTCTGTGTCTTTATCTACTTTTGGTGGAAGACTTCATATCAGCTACCATTCAAAGCGTGGGTGTGTTAACCTTCCCAGATATTTGGAAGACTTGCTGATGCAGAATTCATTCCCATAAGACACCTTCTCTCTCTGTCTCTCTCTCTGTTTTAATGTGTGTCTGTGTGTTTTATGGATATACAGTATAGCCCTTCCTTTCCCTCCTTGCAAAGGGAGAACCTCAGAATTCCAAAGGTAAGTTCAAAATGGGCAAGATTTCATAGACAGAGCATCACAATCTGCTTCAATTCCAGGATGTATGATGTAACTTCTTTCTCTCAGTCTTTTGATCAGTCACCTTCCATTCATTTTGACAATCCAATATTATTGATCAGTTTCTGTAAATTTTTGACAGCGCCTGTAGTTCTTATGCCTTTGCACACCTGCGAAGAGAAGGGTCATCAAATAGTTGGAAGGTTTCTGCAACGAAGAGAGAGAAATGCCTTGTGGAATTGAAAGAAGAGACTGTCAAGGTTTCCAAGAAAGAGGGAACAATAGCCGGTGCTGTTGCTCTGATAATCGGAACGACTATTGGTTCGGGGATACTTGCTCTTCCACAGAAAACTGCCCCTGCGGTAATTTATTCTATCTCTCTCTGCAAATCACACACCATGACTTGAATACTTTCTCTCCCATAGAAACTTCCCATTTGTTAATTTAAGCAATCCTTCTCCATAAAGCGACCTATGCCTATAATAGGGGATTTGCCATAGACTATGACTAGTAATAATCATGTCTGGTTGGGTTTGCATTGGTCGACTCATGTCTTATCTAAATCTATTTATTGAATTTGAGGGTGTGAGGCCGGTCAAACTAATTATGACATGAATCTGTTAAGAATTTACAATAACTTCGTGTCGATTTCGTGTCTGTAAAACGAGCTTGCTAAGAATTTCCAACCCTATCATACATGCCTGCTGATCGAAACCAAGTGTTGGGGACGTAAAAAACTGAATATATTAAACACCGCCTTTGTTGGTTCGATGTGAGCAACTAGAGATGCTTGCAAGTTTAGTTGAAAGCCACGTAGTCTTCAAAATAGCTTTAGCATCATCTTCATCTTACCTGCTCAAAAATACACACACATAGGGAAAGTAAAGGCTAAGAACCATATGTTTTATTCTGAGCCAACTCGTAAAGTGCTTGGTTATTTTTTACAATGTTCAGGGACTACTTCCAAGTTCAATATCTTTGACAATATGTTGGGCTTTTCTTCTAATAGAAGCACTTTTGCTTGTTGAAATCAATGTGGGGCTTCTGAGAAAGAAGCAAAAGAGAGCAACAGAGAATGAGCTAGAGGTCATTTCCATCAGAACCATGGCCCAGGAGACACTAGGAGAATGGGGTGGAACTCTTGCCACTGTGACCTATGTGTTCTTGGGTTACACTTCCTTGATTGCCTATAGTTCCAAGTCTGGAGAGATCCTTTACCATTTGATCAATATTCCAGAGTCCATCTCGGGGTTTTTCTTTACTGCCCTCTTCACTATTCTCATTTCTGTTGGAGGGACTCGAGCAACTGATCAAGTCAATCAGTGGCTCACCACTTCCATGATAGGTATGCTTTGTGCTAATTGTGATTGTTCAGTGATTTTAGAGCCATCTTTTCTACATGCCTGGTAAAGCTGCATACATGACCCTCTCAGACCTGTGGTGGTGGGAATATTGTGCATGGAGCTACCCATTTTTAATGGTTTTAGAACCACATGCACTTTCAAATGTTTTTACCTTATTGAATAGATTAGACCAATTTTGGGCATGCACATTTATTGCAAAAACATTGAAATTGCACATTGGAACCCATTTTGAGGAATTTCTTGTGAAGTGGTTATGTAGCATTGTCTTATTAACGATTTGAGTGACAAATTGAACAGGTTTACTACTAGCAATTGAGGTTCTAGCTGTTGTGTTTGGAGGATGGTCAGGCCTAGGGGGAAGTGGTGACTGGGGAAAAGTACCAGCTACGCTTCCAGTCATGATATTTTGTTTGGTCTATCATGATTTAGCACCTGGTGAATAAAATTTGGAATGTTCTGATTATAGTATAGCCTGTTTAGTCTGTTGATGATAACAATGCCTCCTGATTATGATGTTTGATTATCTTGCAGTACTTTGTGCTTACCTGGGAGGTGATCTTACACGAATAAGGGCTTCGGTTTTGCTTGGTAGTGTTGTGCCATTGCTAGCATTGCTTGTTTGGAATGCAATAGCAATTGGCCTCTCGGGTCAGGCTGACCAAGGGGCTGACCCTGTTGAATTGCTTATGGGGTAATTCAATCTCTGTTGTCTATGATATTTATCACTATATCATAATTTGTAAGGGTAAATCCTGGTCATTTGATGAATGGTTGAATTCAAAGATCCAAAAAAAGGGAAGCCAAGAATGTGATCTTACCTCTTGCCTTCTTTAGCTGAGGGTCAGGTGAAATTCCTTGGGTTGGAAGAACTAATTACACAACTAGTAGGGTTTATGCACCATTTTCTACCAAACATTGAATTTCTGGGTTAAACAGCTTTGGCGATTCTATTTCTACCATTAGTTCTTCATGTTAGAGTAGTTAGAATATTTAGTCTTAAGGGTAGTTTAGTCCTTTCGTTCTTTTATGTTGCCCTACTATATAAGGGCCTTTTATATGCATTTTTCTATTAAGCTGTAATACAAATATTCTCTATTGTCTTTTTCTCTTTACTTTTATCAAAGTTTACATGGTATCAGAGCGGGTTTCGACCCAAACACGATCAACAACATATTAGGTTCATCGGAGGAAATTTAGAATTTGAACTAGGGCTAATGTCATCAATGCAGGTGATGGCTTCGGTACCCGAAGGTTACAAGACACACCATCTGGTCGACTGCATGTGGGTTCAACATGGTGTGATTTTGTTTTGATTTGATGTCCGTCTGATAAGGTTTCTGATTTTTCAAAAATTTATTAAGAAAATGGGCCGAAAACTTCGATCTCGAATTTCTTCAATTTTTGATTAAATTTTTTGCTCCAAATTCCTTATGTGGTGCGAATTTGCCTCCTTGGTGTTCGATTGGATGTTTTGAAGCATTTCAAACTAGTTTTTGATGCAAAGGAATGAGATTTTTGGCTGATTTCCTCCATCGGTAAACACTGTAGCGACTGGTTTGCCACTTATCCTTTGGCTTCTGCCTTCTGTTACTCACGCCATCTTCCTACTTTGTTTGCTGCTGCTCTTTGATCTGTTAATTGCTGGTTTGTTGGTTGTGGGTGTATCTTTGTGTGGCTGGTTGCGAGGTGTCAATGATTGGTGGTCTCGCTGGTTGTGAGCTTGTGCAGAATTTTAGCTTCGGTTATTGCTCTGTTGTTTCGTTGTTGCTAGTTTTGAATATTCTTCTCTCCTTGGCTTGCTAGAAGACTTTGTTGCCTACTTGGTTTTGTCTTTGTTCACTGCTGTTGTTCTGCTTTGGGTCTGTTCGTTGCTTTTGTTCGCAATACAGGTTGAGCTGGAATTTTGTTGTTCTTTATTACTTTAGGCTATTGGGTTGTTTGATATTTGTTGTTTGGGCTGTTGGACTGATTGATTGACTATTGTTCTCCAACTGGGGCCTTGATTTTCCATTGGGCTATAATTGTTGGGTTAGTTTGGCTTCTATACTTGCTGGGACTTTGAACTTCAGTTGGGTTTGGTGGTTTGGAATTGGTTCAGTGGATTTGATTGTTGTTATTTTTTGGCTAGTGACAATTATGGCAACTGACAATTCTGGCTCTCATCTGTCAATTAGTTTAAAATTGACTAAGATTGCTGATCAATTGCAGAAACTTCTTTAACAACCTAATACTCTCTCCATCTCATCTTCTATAGGTTCGTTCACTTCGGGTTATTCAGGTATATCTCAAAACTGCCTGGGTCTTTGACTCAGGTGCTACCCATCATATGACTCGTGATTCTTCCTTATTTGCATCTACATTTTCTCCTCCATCTGTTTTTGTGCTTGCAGCTAATGGTACAAAAATATCCTTGGCTGGCGTTGGATCTATAATTTCTCCGCATCTAACATTTCTTGATGTTTATTTTATTCCACAGCTTACCTTGAATTTAATTTCAGTTAGTCAGCTATTTGACTATGGATTTTCAGTTCATTTTTCCTCTTCTAGATGTATTGTACAGGATTCACGTTCCAAGAAACTAATTGAGACAGGTAGTAGAAAGGGAGGATTGTATGTGTTAGACGAGTTACATATTCCTGATATTGTTGCTTATGCTGTTGATTTATCTTCATTTCATTTAAATCCACAGTCTTCTAGTTTCTATTTGTGATATTCTCGTCTTGGTCATGTGTCTCACTCTCGTTTGAAATTTTTAGCCTTTACTGGTAGTTTGGGTAATTTAGAGTGTCATGATATTTTCAGTTGTAGTGGATGCAAGTTAGCTAAATTTACTGCATTACCTTTTAATAAAAGTTTCACTAGCTCACTTGCACCTTTTGATCTGGTTCATTCTGATGTTTGGGAACCAGGTCCTGTTCCCACAAAAGGAGGGTCTAAATATTATATCTCTTTCATGGATGATTATACTTGATTTTGTTGGGTTTATCTCATGGGGCATCGTTCTGAATTCTTTTTTGTGTTCACTGTTTTTTGTGTTATGATACGTACTCAATACTCATCTGTTATTAAATGTTTTCGATGTGACTAAAGAGGAGAATATTTATTCAATTCTTTTTGTGATCTATTAAAATCTGATGGCACTATTTGACAATCTTCTTGTACTGACACACTTGAACAGAATAGTGTAGTAGAGCACAAACATCGACATATTATGAAGACAACACGCTCTCTCTTACTTTCAGCAAATGTTCCAAGTTCTTTTTGGGGGAAAGCAGTTCTTACTGCAGTCCATCTGATTAATTCTATTTCCACTGCCATCACATCTGAAATTTCTCCATTTGAGAAACTATATGGTAAGTCACCTGATTATTTCTCTTTGCGTGTATTTGGATGCACCCGTTTTGTTTTGCTTCCTAGTGTTCTTCGTATTAAGCTCTCTGCTTGTTCAGGTTTATGTGTTTTCCTTGGTTATGGTAAGGGTCAAAAAGGGAATCGTTGCTATGATCCTGTTTCACACAAATTATATGTCTCTCATCAAGTTATTTTCATGGAGTATATTTCCTTCTTTTCTATTCCATCAAGTTCTTCATATTTGCATAAATCTGATCTCATTTATATTGACCCATTTCCGGCTGATGTTTCCTCTGACACTTATGTTGGTGATATAACTGTTTCTGATGTACCTGACACTCGTTCCCCTATTGTGCATACATATGTTCGCAGGAATCCCACTATCTTCTCTATAGATGTGGTGCCTCCCCATTCTTCTCCTGCTACACAATCATGTTTAGATAATGTAGATCATATCCGCACTATCCTCAGCGCTCTCGCAAATGTCCAGACGGGTTTGGTTGGAGTGCACTTGTTATTCTCATGATTTTTGTTCTTTCCTTACTTCTATTTACTCCTTATCTGAAACCACCTCCTACAAGAAGGCTTTACTTGATCCACTTTGAAAACAGGCTATGGATGAGAAATTGTCTGCCTTACATAAGACTAGAACTTGGGAACTAGTGTCTTTACCACCTGGTAAACGCCTCATTGGTTGTAGGTGGGTTTATAAGATAAAAACCAAGTCTGATGGTTATGTGGAATGGTATAAAGCTCGATTAGTAGCTAAGGGTTTTGCTCAGGAACATGGTATAGACTATGATGAGACTTTTGCCCTTGTTGCGAAGATGACCACTGTATGCTCCGTGATTGCAGTTGCTGTCATTCACCAATAGAATGTCTCAGATGGATGTGAAAAATATATTTCTTCATGGAGATTTAAGTGAAGAGGTTTTTATGACTCCTCCTCCTAGATTATCTCATAGTCCTGGTAAAGTATGTCGACTTCACCGAGCTTTATATGACCTTAAACAGGTTCCCAGGGCATGGTTTGACAAATTTTCTTCAGTTATTTGTGACTTGAGTTTTCACGCCAGTGATCATGATTCTGTTTTCTTTTTACGGTCTACTTTCTTAGGATCTATTATTCTCTTACTATATGTTGATAATATGATTATTACGGGTGATGACACTGTTGACATATGCTTATTGAAAACCCAGTTGCGTGATCAATTTGAGATGAAAGATTTAGAACAACTTAGATATTTCTTGGGTATTGAGATTGCTTACTCTCCTAAAGGATATTTTCACTTTCAGTTCAAGTATGCTTCAGATGTTATTCAACGAGCTCGTTTATCAGATAATCAGACAGTTGAAACACTTTTAGAGCTCAATGTTCGTTACTCTTCTTCTGATGTACTCTCGACCCCACGCTCTATTGCGCTATTGTTGGGAGTTTAGTATATCTTACAGTCACTCGTCCAAATATCTCCTATGCTGTTCAAGTTGTTAGTCAATTTGTTGCCTCACCCACCACTGTTCACTGGGATGTGGTTTTTCGTATTCTTCGGTATCTTCGAGGTACTCTGCACTAGAGTTTGTTATTCTCCTCCTCTTCCTTTGTGGAACTCGGGGCTTATTTTGATACTGACTGGGTTGCTGACTCTATGGACCGTAAGTCTACTACCAGTTTTTGTATTTTCCTCGGTGATTTTCTTATTTCTTGGAAAAGCAAGAAACAAACTGTTGTTTCTTGTTTGTCTGCTGAAGCTGAATATCGTGCTATGACATCTATTGTAACTGAAATAGTTTGGTTACGATGGCTCCTTACTGATCTTGGCATCATGTTACCTGCGCCAACTCCTATGTATTGTGATAATACCAGTGCTATTCGGATTGCTCATAACTTAGTCTTTCATGAGCATACAAAGCATATTGAAATTGATTGTCACTTTGTGCGTCATCATCTTCAGCTGGGTACTATCTTCCTCTCTTTTATTTCTTCCACTATGCAGTTATCAGATTTTTTCACAACATCGCATACTATTACTCGCTTTCGTTTTCTTCTTGGCAAACTCTTAATGTTTTCTACTACCACATCATGAGTTTGAGGGAGAGTGCTAGAGTAGTTAGAATATTTAGTCTTAAGGGTAGATTAGTCTTTCGTTCTTTTATGTTGCCCTACTATATAAGGATCTTTTATATACATTTTTCTATTAACCAGTAATACAAACATTCTCTATTGTCTCTTCTCTTTTTCTCTTTACTTTTATCAAACTTTACACTTCAATCAATAGTTTCTTGATTAACTCATGAGCCCCATGTTATTCTAACATCCCAAAATTCCCAAATCACTTACTCTCACCTTAATTTCAGGGTAAGATGGAGCGTGATACCCTTTATGGTACAGGCCTTCTCGCTTCTGGCAGTGGGAACGTCACTAATTGGCACTCTCTTGAGCTTCTCCGAGTTTTTCAAGGAGCAACTTATCAATCTGTCATGGCGTTCTTCCTCGTCACAAATAGTAGAGGTATCTTCAACTCTTTTTCCCTCTAACTCTACTGTTAGCAAGTAGTTAGTCACAATTGCCTTTCTCTTGGTCAAAAAACTTAACTGTATTGACATGGAATATATTACTTCAGCAGAAACCAAACAAATTCTTTGAGCTAAGAAAATGGTGGGGAAGAAATAAAATCAACATCACAGCGACAGCGATGGTCATCGCTCCATCTCTCTTTGTGTCTACTACAGTTTCAGACTCGTTTTCTGCTGCCACGGAATTCGCTGTAAGTTTCTTGTGTGCTTGTAAATGTGGGTATGCTTTTGTTGTCTGTGGGGATCAAAAACTCATTGTTGAAGGGAAGAAAAATACTTAAGAAGATGCTCACACTTTCAATTTTTGAACAGCTTAAAACTAAAATCAGTTTAATGCAAACCTCTATATTTGCCACCCTTCGGGATACAAATAGAGTGAACCGAGTCAAACACTAGACTGTTTGGGTTCAGCTAGTGTTCGGGATAGGTTCAAGATCCTGGATTTTTAATTTTTTTTGAAACTGAGGCTTGGCTCAGCTCAACCCATCTAATTAAACATATTGTGGTTAAAATTGTGTTCGAATTTAAATTCGAACTTATATTCACTTTCAATATGAGGATTACCTCATATGTGTGGTTGTTTGTTCTTTTTTTTTTTTTTTGGGGGGGGGGGGGGGGGGGTGGGTGGGTGGTGGTGCGACTATAAAGTTGAACTCAAGCCCAGGTAACTTCATAATTGGGCAAAATTCAATTTATCCCCTTGTGGTTTGGGTATTTTGCACATGATCCCCCTATGATTTGGAAATCAACACATTACCCCATTATGCTTTTGGACAAAAATGCTACCGTTAATTTTTCCGTTAGATTAAACCATTTGTGACACACACACACACACCTAAAAGGAGATTTGACATAACAAAATTTTTGTCCTCTAAAAGTAGACACAATAAAAGTAAAATAATACCCTTCTTCAATATTCATCTTTCTCAATAGTTGACTATCATATTTTTTCTCAAACAATTCACTCCAATCACCGTCTCATTATCAAAATTTTTAACAACAAAATTTTAAAAATTAAAATTAAGTGGATGATTTTTAACTATGTACGGCTCAAGTGAAATTCATTTTACCACTCAAACCATAGGAATAACTAATGGCTAGAGGTTCAATAATCTTGATGGGATCGTCTTTATGTGCAGGAAGGGGTGTGGCTCTAATGCCGTCGTTGGTCGCGGCGAGGAGAGCCTGGGAAGAGGGGGTTTGAGCAAAGAGGAGAGGACAAGGGAGGAAGGGAGGGGATGAAATGGAGATATACCTGGGTGGGCTGTTTGGCGGTGGGTTGCCAATAGTGGCAGAAGGGTGGTGAGAGAAAGGGAAATGAGGTTGTTACTTAGAGAAAGAGAGAGGGGAGAAGGGGTTGCTGATGGAGAGAGATGATGGAGAAGAGAGAGAAGGAGCAGTGACATTGTTGAGTCAGAGAGAGAGAGTGAGAGAGAGAGGCAACAAGGTGTATAGTGAAAGAAAATCAAAACCCTTGTTTAAGCATTAAAAATCGTGACAATTTTTGAAAATGATGAACCCGTCACTTTGGAGCTTGATTTTCACTTATTTTGTGCATGATTTGGACAAACTAAATACATGGTTGGAAAGAGGGTAGAAAGAAGTTAAATTTAGGCATTTGAATCACCTAAAAAGGTTGAGAAACAAGGGAGAAATTAAGGGTCAAAGTTGGTCCAAATGTTGAAAAAAATCTGGTATGTACATAACTTGTCAAAATGAGTTTGTGATCACCTTTGAGCTTAAATTTGTGGGTCATGGGGGTTATTTAAGGAAACAAGTCCGTGAGGTTTAAAACTAGGTTGAGAGTGAAGGATATTGACATTGGTTTGAGGAAGTTTGATACTTTGTGGAGAGAAAAAAATTTGTAAAGTTGAGAGGTTGGTTGATTTTTCAGAAAATTAGGCTACAGTTGAGAGGGAGGAAGAAGATGATGAATAGTTGAGGGTACTAAAATAATTTTACCACTTCTGCTTACGGTGTTAATTGTGCATATCAGTCCAAAAGTATAAGGGTGTAATGTGCTGATTTTCAAATTATGGGGGGATCATGTGCAAAATACCCAAACCACAATGGAGTAGGCTGGATTTTACCCTTCATAATTGAACCAACTTTAATCCAATCTGAACCGAATAGTTCATGAATGAGCTCGATTCATTAGCCACCCTTTGTTTTTTATGGAAATAACTTCTGCGAGGCAAAGAATTTCTGTCGATATACTTTAACACAGTATCTTCTGTTACATATGATTTCTAGTGTCTGCATATATCTATTGCTAATCTAATGGGATTAAAATCATACATGCTTTAACTTGTCATTGGCATATATCCTTCTCTTACAACAACTAATCACTACAAAATTGAACAGGGCGGTTACTGTATGACATTGCTATATGGGGTTCTTCCACCAGCAATGGCATGGGCTATGCATAGCAGAGAATCTGATGAAACTGATCAGAATACAATATCAAGAGCAAAGCCTGCACTTCTTGGGGTGGGACTATTCGCTTGTGGGATAGTGGTGCAACAAATTCTGCAAGATCTCATAACGTTGCATTAAAAAGTGCACAAAACTCTTACTACTACTGTACTTGACGAAAATCAAACACAGTTTGTCACATGTATAGAAAGATATCATTTTCGTGATTTGAACTATGATAACACTGCACTAAAACCCATACTCATGTTGCATTATGGAAGACATTAAGCAAGACTATTCACTCAATGCATCAGTGATTATGTGTTCAACTTGTCCAATGGTATCTAAACTACATATGACAGTTTCATGCTTCTCAACTGATTCTTTATTAAGCACAAAGGTCTTCAATAAACATAAAGAGATTGCTAGCTGCCCCAAGAAAAGTGACAACAAATATAAAGAGAACGAATTAAAGTGCTACTCGGTCAAGGATAACAATCAACAAATACAAACAATAAATCTGCTAAGATACGGGCGTAAAAAGTGCAATTGGTGCCAAAAATAAGGCAGGAAAAACAGAGCAACCAGACATTCCAATCACAAAATCCTGTTCAAAATCTTAGTTTCTTATGGTTGTCACATGCTTCAGAAGCATCTGGACAACATCATGGGAAATTCTTGCAGCCTCTCTCTTCAGGTGATCGATCTTTGCCTCTGTTTCTTGTTCAAGACGCTTCACATTAGCACCTGAGTCTCCGCTACTCTGTTCAATGACACATGATAATACGTAATTATGGCAAAAGGGCTAAGAGAAATTACAAATTCCAGAATCCACCTTTATGATATGTACAATAAAAGAAGTTGGAAATAAGGATGGTAAAGGAATGACAAGAAAATTCATGAACATATGTAAGTGGGACAATAATAACTCAGTTAGACACGAATTTTTTTTTAGTTATTATGGATATTCCCAGGAAAATCTAAAAAAGTTTGTGCTCAAAATGAACAAGGTAGTAGGTTTGATGAAACATACATATTGGCACCAGATTTTCAAAATAGTCAATAGATCCAACTCTGTATATCTTATTAAATTTTACCTCTGCAACCTTTCTCTGAAACTCAGCTTCCATTTTAGCACGAAATTGGGTAATCTCCTTCTCAGCCTCTTCTTTGGCCTGTTTCAGTCTAGCCATTTTTGCTGGAAACAGAAATCAAAATGTGTACAAATCAGTTGAATTCAGGCCTCAACCGATGCAGTGGTATAATCTTATGTTTGGCTCAAGAACTTAGACTTCAGACCAATTGACATTTATTACTTTTATATATGTAAAACAAACATTTTAGTACCATGAACATCACCATTTTTGACATATTAGCATCATGCACGTGACCATCCGTGCATTCACTCTTGTAAGTATGACGGCATTTAATGCCCAAAAAAGATTTCCAGCCACATTGTAACAATAGCCATATCAGGCAGTGGTTTGCTACAGGATTAAAAAAATTCCAACATTGGGCATCACCTAGCCCACCCCACTCCACAATAAAATCCCAAAAAAGAAGTCCTTTCTTTCTCTTGTGCTGTACATTACACACATACACAAACACGAACTAGAACGATGATTACTAACAATTGCTGGTCATCCTGGAAGGCTGGAAATCAGACTGGTTTGAGAGAATGTCAAAGCACAAAGTCAGGCATTGACATATACTCGAAAAACTTCTGATATTCACCTGAGTGGAGAATACTTGTGGCATGCAAAAATTCAGAACAGTTTAAAAGCAGAGCTGGTGGGAATGATGATTATGTACGCAATGGTGTGGCCCTTCCAAATACAAAGATGGTGATGTGGTGCAAGTGGTAGGGTGAGAACCAGATGGCTGCGCGGTGGCATCTGAGCCTCTTGGCTTCCATACTTGTTGAAAAATACCAGATAGGGCAACGTAAAACCAAATCAGGTCATAAAGATAATAACACAAGTACTTACCAGCTTTTGCAGTGTTGACAATGTGCTGAGCTTCTTGTTCTGCAGCTAACAACAGTTGAATTCCATTCTGGGCCCTATTTGCTTCCATACTTCTTGAAAAGCACCAATGCAGCTATGCTGAAATTTCAGATGCGACTGATGAGAGCAAACAAATGGTAAATAATGACTCCACATCATCACAACTGGGACAGTTCCTTTGTTTCACATAGAAAGTGAGAATCAATGATGCAAAATCAAATAAATTGGAAGGACAAAACTCCATTTTGATCCTGCTATTGTGGTTCTTTAGTAATACTAATAGAGGCCACTATTAAAAGCATATTAGGGAATATATTATTAACCTCCATAGATAACCAGAACATCCAAAGATAGTTGATGACACTATATGTCAAAGGATGCCTGCAGAAAGTACTCTAGCATTACTGATACAGTCCAGACTCAAAGAAGCTGGAACTGCTGTAAAAACAAGCCCAATAGGGCTACAAGAAACCTGAGCAGGGTTGTAGCGACCAAATCTCTCAAATAGAAATATCAATTCAACAAAAGATAAGAGTTACATTAGCTCCACACCCCTTTATATAACCTTAATTCTTGGATACAACTTGTGCATAAATACTTCGACTCACTTGTTAAAATTATGAATAGGCATATAAATATCCCACAATGCCTTTGTTCCTCTCCTCTTAATGACCATAGAAGGCAAGATGAAGTAGCAAATATAAAAATTGTAAAAGGTAGCGACAAAATGTCAGAGATACAAGAGGCGAAGATAATACAATTAAACTAGATGAACTCAGCCGAACCCATCAAAAATTGCATTAGTTTTCCAAACTCTATAACTAACATATAGGACACTTTCACAACATGTGATAACCAATAGCTATCATATATCTCTGTTTAGGCTTTCAAGACCTGAAGATAAGTGGGACTTGAATTGCTGACATCCATCCTAAGGTAAAACAACTACCTCTCAAATCTGTCAACTAAATTCTATAACATAGAAACCAACCAATAAAAAAGACCTCAATAGAAATGAATATCGAGTCCTTTTTTCACGGCAATCTAGAGTGAAATTCCTTGTCGGTCAAAAGGATAGTAAATTTCCTCTGAAAATAATAACCCATAATAATTCTTCACCCCAGACCCAATCTATATAAAGAAGAAATTTGAGGCGAATCTTCAAGATGCTCTAATGAATTACATATATCATCATCATAAAATCTAAGAAACCACGCACCATGGGTTAATATCTTCACTTTCCAAGTTCCAGTCTCTACATATTCTACCCCATCCAAATACAATAATACTGATTCAACAATTCATCTCATCACTGCAGAACACCTTACAATCATATTGTATAGTCCATTCATTGTAAAAATTCTGATCAAATATCTATCTACTATTATTACTAGTAGTTCAATATACCCTTACAATCTTATTGTATAGTCCATCCATTGTAAAAATTCCGATCTAAAATCTATCCACTATTGTTACTAGTACTTAAATATACTATATTCAATATTTAAACCATCAAATCAAATCTGGGTCAAAATGGCACTGACCACTAGTATTTTTTACCCCAACTGAAACAAAACAAAAAATGATCCCCAAGTCCTAGATTTGTCACTGGATTCACATACTGTGAACTGTGACCTAAAAGAGTTCAAGAAGATTTTCTACAAAGTTGAACTACCAACAAAAAGTGAATTTAGTTATAGAGCAGACCAAGAATAAGGACACTTGAGTGAAGAAGAAGAGATCTGATATGCAGAAGTAGCATTGAAGAATAACATTACGATCTACTCAAAGACAGAATAGAGAGAAAGATCTAAAAATCAAGGGGGGAAAAAAAGCAGGAGAGAATATAGGGAGGATGGAGATTCGGATGAGAGAGAAACGCACCTGTAGAACTGNGATCTACTCAAAGACAGAATAGAGAGAAAGATCTAAAAATCAAGGGGGGAAAAAAAAGCAGGAGAGAATATAGGGAGGATGGAGATTCGGATGAGAGAGAAACGCACCTGTAGAACTGAGCTAGTTCAATGATTCTACGAGAATTGAGGCTTTGTGGCGTTCAGAAGTGTCGAAACATGTTAAAAAGAATAATGTTTGAACTTTGAACAGTTGGCTGAAACATGAACTGTTTTAGAAAATACTCTCTCCCCGTTGTTAAATATAATTTTTTATTACGTAATTTTTTTTATTTCATCGTTTTATAAAATTAAAATATAATAAATAATTTTTTTTTCAATAAATATTTAATAAATTAAATATAGGTTAAGTGTCTTTCATATTCTTTTTCTTCCAAATACGTATTGAATAAATATATTTTAGTCTTGTGTAATTATTTTTTACTTATATTAGAGCTATTTAATAGTTTCCTTAATCTCTATACAAAAATTTTAAATAATAGATATTTAAGAACGGAGAGNAAGTGTCGAAACATGTTAAAAAGAATAATGTTTGAACTTTGAACAGTTGGCTGAAATATGAACTGTTTTAGAAAATACTCTCTCCCCGTTGTTAAATATACGTTGTTTTACGCAATTTTTTTTATTTCATCGTTTTATAAAATTAAAATATAATAAATAATTTTTTTTTTCAAATTTATCTTTATCTCTATTTTTTAATAAATATTTAATAAATTAAATATAGGTTAAGTGTCTTTCATATTCTTTTTCTTCCCAATACGTATTGAATAAATATATTTTAGTCTTGTATAATTATTTTTTACTTATATTAGAGTTATTTAATAGCTTCTTTAATCCCTATACAAAAATTTTAAACAATAGATATTTAAGAACGGAGGGAGTAATTGTCATTTGACAAATTTACCCCCACAATTATTCATTTTAACAAGTTTACCCCTACAACTATACCCAAAGGGTGGCGCTGTTCGGGCCTTTAAATCTTCTTCCACACCCCCATTTAATCACCTTCTTTCAAATTATTAAATTTACTCTATCTATATCAAGCACATTTATAGTCATCACATTAATAACTAAGTTTACCTCATTTATATTTATCAAAATAAATTATTAAATATATATTCAAATAAATCAANTGTTCGGGCCTTTAAATCTTCTTCCACACCCCCATTTAATCACCTTCTTTCAAATTATTAAATTTACTCTATCTATATCAAGCACATTTATACTCATCACATTAATAACTAAGTTTACCTCATTTATATTTATCAAAATAAATTATTAAATATATATTCAAATAAATCAAAACAAAAATAATAATTAAAATAAAATTTTAATATTCTGAGGTGAGGTAGAATATTTTGAGGTGTTTTAAAATATTTTGACATATTTTCACCAATATTTTCGAAAAATTTTGAGGTTTTTAAGATATTGGTGTATTTCAACTAATATTTTAAAGATAAATTTTTAATTTTTTTTATNAATAATAATTAAAATAAAATTTTAATATTCTGAGGTGAGGTAGAATATTTTGAGGTGTTTTAAAATATTTTGACATATTTTCATCAATATTTTCGACAAAATTTTGAGGTTTTTAAGATATTGGTGTATTTCAACTAATATTTTAAAGATAAATTTTTAATTTTTTTTATTTGTTATAAAATATTATTATACCAAAATAATACACCGAAATAAAATTTTAATCATTGTGTATATAGTAGGTTGAGATAAAATTAGATGAATTTAATTTTTAATTAGTGAATATAAATGATGTCTTTAGTAACTAATGAGGTAGATATAGATAAAGTGAATTTAATAGTTTAAAATAAGATGATTAAATGGGATGAGAAAATATATTTAAGAAGTGAGGATAGTCTCACCCATTCCCAAACCATGTCAAATTCGAATTTGAATATGGATATACTACTATGGATTGGATTATGATCTAATTCGAATTAAGTATATTTACTATTTTTTTTAATATCTNTATAGATAAAGTGAATTTAATAGTTTAAAATAAGATGATTAAATGGGATGAGAAAAGATATTTAAGAAGTGAGGATAGTCTCACCCATTCCCAAACCATGTCAAATTCGAATTTGAATATGGATATACTACTATCGATTGGATTATGATCTAATTCGAATTAAGTATATTTACTATTTTTTTTAATATCTTTTTTTGTTGGGAGGGAGAAGAGAAAGGAGGAGGGAGACTTGAACTCTTTACCTTAAGAAGTCAGGATCTTTACAAGACAATGAGTACTATTGGACAAAAAATCCCTTGGTTAAGTATATTTACTATTAAGGATATAGGAAATTAAGCGATTGTTGATAAAATTGACCCAAAATTTATAACTAATTTGCTAAATTTATGAGTTATTTGGGTCTCGTAGGGTTTTGAATTGGAGTTTCGTCTTTTAATAAATTCGGGTATAAAGTGTGAAGATTAAATCCATATGATATTCAAATCAAAGTTTTGTAATCAGATTTGGACCAACTGAAGTCTGATTCAAATCCAATTTGCATTCGAGCCTAATTGCATGTGGAGGGACATCTTAGTTACACTAATTATTTATAGGACAAATAATACTTTGATCTCTTTAACTATAGACTTGATTTTATTTTAGTTCTTAAACTATTGAATTTTTCACATTATCCTCTAAATTACTTGAATTATTAATATTTCTCCAAGCACAAAACAACTATCAATGTATGAGGACAAAGTAAAAAAAAAATACATAATTTGAGGTCTAAAATGAATAATTTAACGGACGTTAATTATTAGGATAATACATATATACATATACATACTACTTATAAATGTCAATATGTACAAAAAAATTTTGATTTTTTATTTGATGCATAATTATTATAATTTTTTTTTAAAAAAAAAAATTTTGGGAGGGAGAAAGGGAAAGGAAAGGGAGACTTGAACCCTTAATCTCAAGAATTCAAAATCATTACAATTATACAGACCTATATATTTTTATCTAATTTTAATTTTCTAGTTCTATTTGACTTTTAACTTATTTTTAATTATTTTATAAGGACTTCTAATTCTTTGAAATGCATTTATTAGTAGAAAATTTTTTATATTTGTATGAAAAAGTAAAACCCAATCAAATTTATGTTATGTTTTATTTTTTGGTATACAATAATATAATAATAGTATAAGAAATCTAATCAATCTATTTAGCAAATTAAAAATTAATAATTCTAAAATATAATTAGATATTCAAATGCCTAAAGAGATCGATGAGAAATCTAAATAAATAATAAATTAGGTACTAAAAAATTTATGTAATATATTAAAAATTATATTTAGTAATAATTAAAATTAGCAATAATTCACGATTTTTATAAAAAAAATTATTTAAATTTACTGCGTGCAATGGACGTCGTGTACTTCTAGTATGTAAACAGTATCGGAGTGGAGGGTATCAAACGGTAATTTGCCCTCACTTATAGTCAGGACATGCACCAGATCAATACCATTTTTTTTTTTTTTTTAGGCATTATACCGACATTATGAGAGAACAATCTGTTACCAACTTACGTAGAAGAAACCTAATAGTATTACATTTTTGTTTGGAACTTTCCATGTTCTTACTATCCCACTCCTTGTAGAACAAGAACAATATCATTCCCCAAATACTATATATATACATCCAGTCCCTCAAATTCTTCTACAAAATCAAACAGTCCAGTCTTTTGTTACCCAAATTCGTGATTCAAGAGTTTTCCTAGATTTTTTTTTGTTGCAGTAAAACACTATGTCNTATATATATATATATAGATAAACTAAAAAATTAAAATCAATAGACTATCATTGTTTAAAATTAAAAAGGATAAAATATTTTCTAAGATCGACTATCGCAGCAATTATTAAAGTATTTTTAATCCAAAAATTAATTTTAAAATAAAAAATTATTAATATTAAAAATAAAAAATTCATTTGTAATAGTCGTCCTTAAGCTTCAACTAATCGTAGACCGCCCTGATGGCAGGTCCCCAACAGTCTCTGTTTTCTAGGGTTTGGTATGTAGCTGCCTCCTGCCAAGGCCCTCCCTACCATGTGATACTATTTATTCCCATCAACATTGGGCAACCTACAATTTTTGGCAATGGCAAAATAAAACTTAAAGAATTCATTAATTAATAGCAATCACAATTAACTGTGGCAAAACTTTATTTATTTTTATTATGGTTATCTGGTTGGAAGCACTTGTCCACACTCCCCTATGATGGAAATTGACAATAAAATTATTATGCAACACTTTTAAATATAAAAACTCAACGGGTAATCACCATTCATTTTTATGAAGGATTTTAATTATTTCTTTTACACACCATCTATATCAACTTTTGGCCCATTTGTGTCTAAAGATTTTGAGGGTAAATTACACTTTTAGTCTTCAAAGAATGCGTGTAGTGTCGATTTGGTTTTCAATCTTTTAATTATGTCTATTTGATCCCTAAAATTTCTAATTTGTATCTAAGTGATCCAATCTCAAATGCAATCAAAAAATCGTTGACGGTTTTGCTCACGTGTCAATCACGTAATTTTTAATTTTGTGTTTATTTTGTCTCACATAATTGGCGCATGACCAGAGTTATTAACGATTTTTTGAAAAATGTTTGGAATTGAACTACGTAGATACAAATTAAAAATCTTAAGGATCAAATAAACACAATTAAAAAATTAGGAACCAAATAAACACTATACACATACTTTAAGGACTAAAAAATATAATTTATCCAAAATTTTATGTCTCAAATGTTGTATTTTTCAATTAGAAATATAAATACAAAGGTAATACTATATTTTCCAAATTTTCTTATTAAATCTCTATTCCAAATGATGTGGCACAGTTTTTTACCATTAGATAAGTAGTCACATTAATATTCAATAATGAAAATTGTGCCACATTATTTGGGATGAAAGATTTAATAAAAAAAATTGATAAGTATAACATTTTTTTCAAATACAAAATTGTACTTAAAATGCTCACGCAACAATAATAACCGGCAGAAAAAGGACCACATAAAAAGTTCTTGAGCATTTCATGGATGAAGTTTATCTGCCTTTTATTTCATGCTGTTGGTTGTGTTATTGCCAAGGATGGTACATGACTTACAACACAACACAATCGTATGTTCTAATGAAAAAATTCAAATAAGAATTACAAAAAAAATAAAAATCAGTTATTCATGGTCTTCAACTCCAGTTTTTATCAAAGAAAAGTTAAATAGCAAAAACCCGCAAAGTCCCTATTAGAGAAACGATGATAGGGAATCCAAAGACATCTATCAATATCGCTAATGGTCTTACAGGGCGGTTCTTCCAGCTGCAAAACCAAATCGTGACCGCCTCGTGTTATCGCGGCGTTTCTTGTACACCATCCCTCCGAACCCTGCTGCACCCACAGCAGCAAAAACTCCGATTACAATCCCAGCCTTCTGTCCACCACTCGGTCCTTTCGAAGAGCCCTTGGGCTTTGGCGGCTGTAGNCTCCGATTACAATCCCAGCCTTCTGTCCACCACTCAGTCCTTTCGAAGAGTCCTTGGGCTTTGGCGGCTGTAGTGGTGGTGGTGGTGGTCCATTCGTAGTGGGAGGAGCCCGATCGGGCACAGATGGCGGTGGTGCGGGTGGGGATATCGCCGCAGGTGGTGGTGGAGAATTAGGTCCGGGTGCGGGTCCCGAACCAGGAGCTGGAGCGGATCCGGAAGCGGGTGCAGGTGCGGGTCCGGAAGCGGGAGCGGGTGCGGATGCGGGTGCACCTTTAGGAGGACCTGCATGGACGACTGCGAAGTTCCCAAAGATATTATGATAGACTAGCAGCACTGAAAGAATAATGATGCACAAACTAACTACCCTTGCCATGGCTAATAATGCGAATTATGGGTTTGGAAGTTGATAGGTGAGCACAAAAGGCAATATTTGATGGACATGTGATAATGTAGAAAAGTTTTNGAGCGGATCCGGAAGCGGGTGCAGGTGCGGGTCCGGAAGCGGGAGCGGGTGCGGATGCGGGTGCACCTTTAGGAGGACCTGCATGGACGACTGCGAAGTTCCCAAAGATATTATGATAGACTAGCAGCACTGAAAGAATAATGATGCACAAACTAACTACCCTTGCCATGGCTAATAATGCGAATTATGGAGCACCAAAATTTATAGAACAACAGAGAGAGAGAAAGAGATGGAGGGAGAAAGATCGATGGAAGCAATGTTGTGCAGGAGAAAAAATCGAAGCAAATATTGTTACTCTGTGTGTGTGTGTGAGAGAGAAGAGAGAGAGAGAGAGAGGGCTGACCATCATAAGATAGCTCTTGGATTAGTCGTCACGCCATGGACTTATATGTAAATGACAAAAGCTACATTACATGTAAAACCTAACATCCGATAACTGCCAGTTAACAACTCATGTACACTGCTAGCTACAAGAGTAGTTGGTTATGGCGAGAGAAAAGGGTCCTAAACCTGTATTTATAATTCAGGTGGGCGTGTTTATTTAAACACCACACGATTAGTAAATAATTTGAAAACAATCCAATACAACTCCATTAACACCCCTACAAGATTAGATAAGCACTCACTAAGTCAATGCAAAGAAACCTTACATTCTTTTTTTACTTAGTAGTATGGTGGGGAAACAATCAAAATAACTAGACTAGAAAAGAAAAAAAGAAAGGTAAAAAGACACATCAATACATCCATTTGTTAATGTTTGAAGATGTAAAACTAACATTCATCTCTTTTGGGTTGTTTTGCAGCATTCTACCTTCAAGAATTGCAGCAGCTGTTGTCCTCAGCTTCTCTTCAACTACTTGTTTAAGCAATGCCAATGAAGATCTTGGTACCAAAAATAAGTCCCACCGAAAGGAACCAGCCAAGTCCAAAATTTGGGGGCCACTCCATCAAGGGGAATTAACTGTTCAAACAGTGGCTGAACCGTGTAGTTATAGGACTCGATTCATATGACCTGCTAGATTGAAGGCATGTCGCGTGTGGGGGGCAAGACAGAGAAAGCTCTAACGCCCGCTGAGATCTTAAATCTAGTTTTATTTTTCAATAGAAATCAAGCATTTAATAAGAGCATCACAGCTTCATTTTTAATCCACCCCTGCAAATTGCTNAGAGAGGGCTGACCATCATAAGATAGCTCTTGGATTAGTCGTCACGCCATGGACTTTTATGTAAATGACAAAAGCTACATTACATGTAAAACCTAACATCCGATATCNAGAGAGGGCTGACCATCATAAGATAGCTCTTGGATTAGTCGTCACGCCATGGACTTATATGTAAATGACAAAAGCTACATTACATGTAAAACCTAACATCCGATAACTGCCAGTTAACAACTCATGTACACTGCTAGCTACAAGAGTAGTTGGTTATGGCGAGAGAAAAGGGTCCTAAACCTGTATTTATAATTCAGGTGGGCGTGTTTATTTAAACACCACACGATTAGTAAATAATTTGAAAACAATCCAATACAACTCCATTAACACCCCTACAAGATTAGATAAGCACTCACTAAGTCAATGCAAAGAAACCTTACATTCTTTTTTTACTTAGTAGTATGGTGGGGAAACAATCAAAATAACTAGACTAGAAAAGAAAAAAAGAAAGGTAAAAAGACACATCAATACATCCATTTGTTAATGTTTGAAGATGTAAAACTAACATTCATCTCTTTTGGGTTGTTTTGCAGCATTCTACCTTCAAGAATTGCAGCAGCTGTTGTCCTCAGCTTCTCTTCGACTACTTGTTTAAGCAATGCCAATGAAGATCTTGGTACCAAAAATAAGTCCCACCGAAAGGAACCAGCCAAGTCCAAAATTTGGGGGCCACTCCATCAAGGGGAATTAACTGTTCAAACAGTGGCTGAACCGTGTAGTTATAGGACTCGATTCATATGACCTGCTAGATTGAAGGCATGTCGCGTGTGGGGGGCAAGACAGAGAAAGCTCTAACGCCCGCTGAGATCTTAAATCTAGTTTTATTTTTCAATAGAAATCAAGCATTTAATAAGAGCATCACAGCTTCATTTTTAATCCACCCCTGCAAATTGCTTTATCATGTCAAAGCCATACTCGCTGTGAAAGCACGAAGCTAGACAGTATAAGTTGATCAAGAGAAGAAAAAAAAATGGCATTGGCTAGAGAAATAACCAGTTACTGCACATCTGTACCTTAGACTTCATATCATTATCCCACTGCTTTTGTTTTTGTGTGTCATCCATGCTACAAATTGAGGGGAATTTGAAGTAAACTATCTTCATTTTACAAATTGCACATACGAGCAGCCCCATCAGTTAATTCTTTCTTGATCAACTTTAATATGTCCGAGACCTGCATAATAGGAAAAAACCATCTTGTGAAACAAACGAGCATTGTGGGAAAGTCTGCATAAGCAGGGGACACAGCCTTTAGTCAATTAGCATTCATTCATAAATATAGGTCTGTCAACATTTTGCTCACCTCTAAGTTGGGTGACAAAACTGGTGAATATCGGTCTAGTATCAAGTATGTCTTCTCGAGCAGGGCTAGAAGTACGTCCACTTGATCCCCCAGCATATCGACCTATATCCCAACACAAATGGTAAATTTAATAAAAAGTAGAAAACAAAAAACAAATGAGCCAACTTGAGTCGTTTGTTTCTTCTTAACACCACAAATTATCCCTTAAAAATGACAAGTGTATGGATTTGAGCAACCTCAGCTTCAGCTAGTTGAAGATTATGACATCTGCTAAAGAAAGCGTTCTTGTAAAGCAACTCCCTTCTTTTTAGTGGGGCTACAAGCTGAACAAGTGGATCCAACTGATGGTTCAAGTCTTCCACCCTGAAAGGAGATAGTTCACCAGTCTTGTTAGTCCAATGTATGAATGCTTTCTGTTAAAGACACTAACATTCAATAGAGTTCCAGTGAAATGTGTAAGAGGACATGTTTCTTTGCTTCTTGGCCATGCCAGAGAAGTTGTGCACACATCAAAAGACAATGCTTAGTTGCTGATCTAAAGTCATCTGATAAGAAAATATGGGAGTTGCTACAATAAGCTCAACATTATTCTGATATTTTTCATGAACTTTACCTATCTGAAAGCTGATAAAGGCATGTATAAGCGTGCAGATATGAATATGAAAGCCAGCATTAAGTAGTAGCAAGGCAATTAACAACATTATGAGACAGAATCTCTTGGAAATTTTGAGTACCTCAAACTATATAGTTCTAATCTTTCGTGGACCATCCGCTCAACATCAGTGAGGACTTGTGAAAATCTTGCTAAAGGAGAGAACTCAAAATCAAATGGGTTTAATTGCAGCACTTGATTGTTCTTTGGTTGGCAAAAGGGGTGCTCCTTGTTATCCCCAATACTAATTGCAGGATTTGTCCATTCGTCGACATTTTCTAAATCATCACCTGGTATGTCTATTCTATATTCCATCTCCCTCAAAAGTGCGTTACTTATTGTTAACTGCTGCAGAGCCTGCTCCAATTTGTTACACACTGATCTGAAAGAGCTTTCATCCTCAATCAACAACCAATCAGTATTGTCACACTCATCCAACTCTTCACATTCCGAGACCACCACAAGGTCATGGTCTGCACTACATTCATTTATGTGAGAATTTTCCCTTGACATCATATCTTCCTCCACTTCTAAGCATTTTAACAAAGAATCTAGTTTTTGGATCAAGCTTTCCTCTCCAGATTTTGAATGCAAATCTTTTGCATAAAGCACATTTTCTGACAAATTGCCTTGATTCAAGGTTTCGCTTCTTCTTAGTGAGGCATGAGCATCGTTTGCAGCCTCGACAACGACAAACTGATATAAATCCTCTCTAATGAGGTTCTCGATATTATAAACATCTCTTTCCATCTTCCATTCCTTTATCATTTCTCTGAAAAACACCATATATACATCCTCTGTCAACAGGATTTCTATGGTTTCAGGTAGCTTGCTGGCACTTGGGTAATTATCTAGACAATATTCCAAAAGTTTCGCATCCTGATGTTGGTTCAGACCCATATTGGAAGGGCTTTCACTGTGTTTGATCATCTCACCAAAGACAATCCTGTCTATTTGTTTTTTGACATGGCTGTCATGAGCATGCATTTCCATGATCCTGTTCCATTCCTCAACCATTTCCTTGAAATACACTCTATAAACATCCTCCCTTGTTGTGCTCTCCAAGCACTGCAACGAACTGTCAAATGAAACCGAGACTTGTGTCTTACTTTCATCCATTACATTTTCATACTCTATTAATGTGCAGCCATGATTACAGGCGAAATCTTTCACTGCCTCATTACATATCGCGTAATATATTTCTTCCCTGGTCTGACTTTCAAAACTTTTACTAGCAGATTTTTCAGTGTCATTGTTATGCAACTGGGGAGAAATTTCTTCCATCAAACTTTTGAGAAGAATATTGTACACATCTTCCAGTATTGTGGTTTGCAAATTTGAATCAACCCTTTCTTGTTTTAGCACCCTTATCTCTTCCTTTGTGTTTGCCTCATAACCAATACTTGTACATTCTTCATCTGCAATGTCAGGCACTGGTATCTCTTTTTCTTGCACATCATCTTTCTCATAAACAAGTTTCTTGTTCCCGGCCAACTTGCCATTCCATCTTATAACATTGTTCAATTTTACTGTCACATTTTGTATCCTTCTTTCCAGGCCATCAGAGTCCTTATCTCTTTTGCCTGATATATCCCCTTTTCCTTCATATGCTTCTCTCTTTAGCCAATACAACTCTTTACGTTGCTTCCCAATAATGGACTCGTGATTTTTTATCAACTTAGCAACATAGTGGCTTCCATCGGCTTCCACATCCTCCTCAAGTAGGTCTTCAGTAAAATCCACTTCTAGAAAAGGTTCACTACATGTTCGATGTATATTGGAAGAAGCAGCTGAATTATCATTGCCTTTGAAAATTTCATTTCGACTGCTAAAAGCCTCAAGTTCACGACGTAAGCTAGCCATCTCATCGATCATTTCCAACCAATGCTCGTTTGAGAAGCCTATAGAAACTTGATTGCCTCTCTTCCTCAATTCTGCTTCAAAATTTTGTGAATGATCTCTAANTTCACTACATGTTCGATGTATATTGGAAGAAGCAGCTGAATTATCATTGCCTTTGACAATTTCATTTCGACTGCTAAAAGCCTCAAGTTCACGACGTAAGCTAGCCATCTCATCGATCATTTCCAACAAATGCTCGTTTGAGAAGCCTATAGAAACTTGATTGCCTCTCTTCCTCAATTCTGCTTCAAAATTTTGTGAATGATCTCGTATAAAGCCTTTAGTTGCAATTGATATTGCATCTCTCTCTATTGTCCACCTCCATTGCTTTTCCAAGGGAAGAACTTCAGCATTTTGCATCCTTCCAAAAGCAAAATCCAAAGTTCCTTTCAAAATGTCTATGTCTGAACTCATCTGTTCGATGACTATATTCTGTTCGGGCCTCAGAGAATAAGCTGGAACGTTGATGTCATAAAACTCAGCTTCTTTCAACCAGGTGNTCTGAACTCATCTGTTCGATGACTATATTCTGTTCGGGCCTCAGAGAATAAGCTGGGACGTTGATGTCATAAAACTCAGCTTCTTTCAACCAGGTGCACTGGTTTCGTTCCTCATCCAATAGTTCTGAATCAAGCTCAAGATCAACCAAACTGGAATGCCCATGATCCATCTTCCTCACCCCACTTGTTAAATTTATACGCTCATCCTCGAGTTTTTGTTTAATATTCCACACCTGCTGATCCACAGAATGTTTCAAATCACCAATATCACCTTCCTTAGTTTCTTCCCCACTTGCCTGATTGCTTGGAACAAAATCAGGGAGGCCCTCTCTCTTTGTTCTTTCAGCCTCAAGGGTAGAATATAGTTGAACTATTTCTCTTTCTTTGAATTCCAATGCTTGCCTAAGCTTTAACTCATTCTCTAGTCTTTCCATGAACTCTTTATCCATTTCTTTGATAGAAAGCTTCATTTTCTCTAGGCGTCCCCGAAGCAAGGCTTGGATTTCCATCAAATCGGAGTCTAATTTTTCGCGGCTGCTTTCGGGAATGTCTGCCTCTTCTTGAATCATCTTCAAACAACTCTCCATCTGAACAAGAGCGAATTCATAAAATTTTGATCCCTCGCTTAAGCGTTCAATAAGCCCATCTTTAGAATGCACTTTTCTAAGAGCTTTATCCATGGCAGATCGAAGAAGCCTCATCACTACTGAGTCAGACTTGAATTCACAATCCATCTCACCAAAATTCTCTTCCATTTCTTGAAAATATGCGAGGGAGATCACACTTCCTGATGAATGAAACCAATCATTAAGTCAACAATTCAGAAGTCTGCAAAAAAAAAAAAAGGAAGCAAAACTATGCAAAATAACATCCAAATGGTAAGAACAGTGAAACTAGAAAATTGCTGTAATTATTTGAACATGCATCTGGAGAGAGAGAGAGAGCGAGAGAGAGAGAGAGTACATCTTTGTCTCCTAAAAAAGTGGATGATGTATGAAGACCTTTTCTCCACATGACAAGGACCAAGCATTAAGTTTATCATTGTGTTAGTGTTTTTTTTTTTGGTATTGAATTTTCATTAATTAGTAGTTAATTTTGAGTTTGTGAAAAATGGGTTGACTTTATGATCTAATGAGATGAGATCAAAATTACTTATTGATCTATTTTAATAGGTTTATGTACATCATTTTAATTGATATGGTTGAGGGGTAAAGTGTATGTCTTAATCTAATTAGTATCCGTAATAGGAGAGCCCATGAAATTCACTGTAAATAGACAGGGTAGCTTATGATCGTTAATTCCNTAAAGTGTATGTCTTAATCTAATTAGTATCCGTAATAGGAGAGCCCATGAAATTCACTGTAAATAGACAGGGTAGCTTATGATCGTTAATTCCATCTCTAATCCACTAATAATTTATAGTGATAATAATGCAATTGTGTTCTTCTCAAAGAACAACAAAAATTCTAGTAGATCTAAGTATATAAAAATTAAATATTTTTTAGTCAAGGGCATCCTAAAGAAATGTGATATTATGATTGAACATATTAATATTAAATCAATGTTTGCTAATCCTTTAACCAAGAGACTGAAACTTGTAAATTTTAAGAAGAACATTGTTATTGAAACTTAATTTACTGATATAATTTGCTGACCTAATTCACTGTGACATTTGGATTGACTATAGGCCTCATTAAATATTGAAATTTAGTGTTGATCTAATGATTCTTATGAAACCATATCATTCTATTAATAAATTATGTCAGATTTTTAGATCCAAATAACATTATTCTTTTAAAAAACATATTGACAGCATGAACATTTTGGAGTATTTTGATGTACTTGGTTAATGATATTTTATTTATGTGTTAAAAATTTTCATATTAATTTTAATTTCATATGTGATATTTGTTAGTCATTATGGTTGAGATATATTTATTTAATGAATAATAAATTTTTAGATAATTATCTCTATTGTTAGCACGATATTCTTGTTATGTTAAATATGAAATATCTCTAATTATACCATTAAAAAAATCTTGAGATTTAAAGTTTGAAGACATACTATTTTATTGTTGAAGCTAATAGATTTTTGTAGCTCATTGTTGAGGCATGTTGTTAAAGAGAAATCATTTAGAAGACTAATAATAAAATAACATATTTATTAGATCACATATTGAGATGTTATTTTTTTACTACACTATCATATTTTGATCCATGTTAATAAAATTATTATTATTACTTTTTTGGTAATCATGGATTGATCGTATATCAATAAAAGATGTAAATACTATCATGATTTGAAAATAATAATTTTATTGAAGTGGATCGTGTTTAAGATATTGTCTTAGGATTGCATGTATTTATTTATTTATTTATTTTTAGCCCAGAGTCCTTTTTAACAAATAAAATTTATTTTTATTTTTATTTTTATATTAAATAGCTACAATTAATATTGTTCAAGTGGGAGAATGTTAGAATTTTATAGTATTAGACTTCCATTAATTAATTGTTAATTTTGTGTTTATGAAAAATGGGTTAAATTTATGATCTAACGAGATGAGCTCAATATTATTAAATAATCTATTTTGATGGACTTATATATATATATATATATATCATTTTAATTGATTTGGTTGAGGCGGTTAAATGTAAACCTTAATTTAATTATCGTCTGTAATGAAAGAACTCATTAAATTCATTATACATACATAGATTAAGTTTTTTCTCTACTTTATAACCTAATTTGACTTGTTATATTAAAAGTCGCCTATTACGTTGAAAAATGAAAAGAAGATCTTGTTGTTCTGCTTCCGCCAAAAAAATTGACAGATCGCATGGCTTAAATACAGATGATCTAACCTTATAATTTAGGTGAATCATTAAAATCTTACACATTAAAGACTACAATTTGACAAGCATCAAAGAACCTTGCCTATTGTTAATGATGAAAGATAGGAATGCATGACTTACCAAAGGCTATGCGTTTCCAGCAACTAACTACTCTAGCCGTTCAATTGTTAGAAAGGATATAACATAAATACTTGCATATTTGAATAAGCTTAGACTTCTTCATTTACATGCCTTTGTGATGAAACCGGTTGATGGGCTGATAAAAAAGAAAAACGGTTGATGGGTATATTTTATATTACATTATGATTCATACACTTTGTTGCAATTTTATCCACAAGTTGATGGGCAAATTTTATACTACATTTGGATTCATAAACTTTGTCGCAATCTTATCAACCAAGATCAACCGGTTGATGGGCATGGGCAAGTTTTATCTTCATCAGCAGTCAAGTTTTAACAAATTGTGTAATTTTTTAGTTCTTATATTGTCATATAAAGCTGACCAGTGTCAAATATTGTCACTCTTAATCAGGCCTCGAATTATTATCTACATCCCATTTCATTGTCGTGAATGAGTTCATCACTGAGTTTGTCCCTCCTGAACAAAGGGACAAACTCTACATCTATCTCCTATTTTCTCTTCATCTCTTTCTAGTACGCTTTCACTATCTTTCCTATTTTCTTTCTATCTCTCTCTTTCTTTCGGTTACTCTCTCTATCTCTTCCCTATTTTCTCTCTCTCTATCTCTCTTTGATAATTTTTTTTTTAAATATGAAAAGATTTGATTTAATTTTTCATCTCTCTCATATTTTCTCTTATCACCATTACTCTCTCCCCTTATTTTCTTTCTCTTTATATCAACGTTATAACACACACAATTACACTAATAAGTTATAATTATCTTATAATACATCAAACAATTACACAAAATTATGAAACAACCCAATTTGTCATTCAATTTTAACATAAACCAAAAAGTTGCATTATTTAGTATTACAACATAGTTACACTAATTATATACACAAAAATTTGTATAATGGTGAAGACTTTTGTGTAATGATGTACACCAAAAAGTTGACTTTTGGTGTAACCATATCGTGATACTAAATGATGTAACTCTTTGATTTATGTATACAACTGAATAAAAAATTGAATTGATATTATAATTTCGAGTAATTATTTAGTGTAATTGTTTACTTTATTAAAACATATAAGTATCTGTTTTGTGTATTATAAGGTAATTATCATTAATTGGTGTTATTGTGTTTATTGTAACGTTGATATAAGGAGAGAAAGAGTAATGATGAGAGAAAATTGGGGGAGAGAGAGAGAAAAAAAAATAGGGGAGAGAGATGAAAAAATTAAATCAAACATTTAAATATTTGAAAAAAAATATCAATGTGGGAGAGAGAAAAAGATAAATTGAGAGAAAATAAAAAAGAGAGAGTGAGAGACAAATGGAGAGAGAGAGAGTAATAAAATAATAAATTGTCTTTTGGTCTTTTTTTCAAAGAAATACACTTAAGAGTTAAATTTTTTTAATGTAATTTAGCTCAATTAAATACAAATTTTTGTACCGACTTTTAAATTTCTTCCTTGTTTTTTAATACTTGAGTTAAATTATTATGGTTAAATGGTTAAAAGTTAAATGAATTATTGTGATTAGAGAGTAAAAATTTAAGTTACTATAATTAAATGATTAAAGTTTAAATGAGTTATTGTGATTAAAAAATTAAAATTTAAATAAATTATTGTAATTAAAAGATTAAATTATTAAATCATATATACACTGTCAGATCTAAACGACATGAGCCATTGTGTTTTTTTAAGCAAAGAGTTTAAGCAGTTCAAGCAAGACACTCTCTTTTATTATTATAGCTATTAAAAGAAATAATTTGAATACAAACCATTGCATTTACAATATTACATTCTTTTTCGTCGCAATTATAATCCATTGTAACACACATATTCAAACACGACTACCAAGTTAATTAACCAGTTATTTATTTGAAAGCAATAACATACACGCGCCACCAGCGCTGGTGACATTTCAAGCCTCTTCCCCACCTGCTACAGCGGCACGTTCAGCTCTAGTCCTAAGCCACTCCACAACCTCCCCGAAAACCAGCTCCACACTCTCCTCCGGCTCACCTACCAGCTGATGCCACATCCCAGGGTAGATCCTGAGGGTCTTATCTTCATTCGCAGCTCGCTGGTACAGCTCCTCCGCACACGCAGGGTCGCAGAGGACGTCCTCTCCGCCGTGTACTATCAATAGCGGCACGTCGACTTCATGAAACCTCCCCTGCACCTCTCTGCTTAACCTAATTATCTCACGCGCCGTCGCAGCGCGTGGCCTCGCCATGCTCCTCTTTGGGCTTGCTATCGCCAGTTTTCTCTTCCATTCCACCTTAAATTATTGCAGTTTTTAAAGATTCCACGAAAAGTCAAAAAAATAATGGCAATTCATATTTTGATTCGTTGTTTGAATTCGAAGGTACAATTCAGACACAGATATCATCTAGCTGTAACAAAAGAAATTGGAAAATTGGCCGTTGAGTGTTCTGGTAACAATTGGATGAAAATTTGAGTAATTTCATGAAAAATTAGGCAAATTGGGTAAATTGTAAGAAAAGAAATCGGTTAACGTTGGCCAGAATACGAAAATTTCCAAAGAAAAACTCACTTTTTTTGAAATAGTACCTTGAATGAGACCTCCGGGATGCGGCCGCGCGTAGGAACCACCTGCCAGGTGGGGACCACCGCCGCGACAATGGAAAGGAAGTGCTCCAAAGGCCATGGCGGCTTGATTTTTTCACTGACGCCGCACAAGGCGCCGTTCAAAACGACACCATTATAAGGCCGGATCGAGCTCCGCCGAAGAATGATGAGCAGGGCAATGGCACCACCGAGGGACTCGGCGTAGAGAAAAGACGGTAACGACGGCGCCTGACGTTCACGAAACGAGTCGAAGAAAGAAATACAGTCGTCGACGACGGGGTTGATGTCCGGGATGTGGGCCACGAGTCCCTCGGAGAAGCCGTGTCCCTGGTGGTCGATCGCACACGTGGCGAATCCCGATTTGGCAAAGAGAATGGCGGTGAGCTGGACGAACCAGCTTGACTCGCCGGTGTAGCCGTGGACGACGGCAACGGTGCCGATGATTTTGGCAGGAGAGAGTGGGGTCCACCACTGAGTAAAGAGCTTGAGGCCTCTGGGATTCGTGATGAACTCGGAGCCGTGACTAACTGAGTGGCGAGTGTAAAACTCGTCCGCGGTGAGTGAACCAAAGGGACTCGTCTCGTTCGCCTCCGCCACCGGGTGCACCATTGTTGCCAATTGCTACAATGCGCCTCTTGCACACTGTGCCAGGATAGGTGGGTAGTTAAGTAGAGGAACAAAACGGTCTGAATGCATTGGGGTCATCAGCAGAGAAATTTTATTAAATGGATGATAGTACACTATAACTACGGTGAGCACTCTCTCAATGTTGATCTTGGTTCGTCAGCCAGCAATACCCTGGTTTTCGTGTTCCATTTGTTAATTTTTGAGAAAATCTCATTTTGCTCTCAAAAAGATATAAAAATTTTCAATTTGTCCCTCAAATAATTAATTTTTTCTCATTGTTCCATCAAAAAAATAAAAACGTTATAATGTGGTCTAAAAACGTTTTTATTACAACATTTTTGGACCATATTATAATCATTTTATTTTTTTGAGGAAAATAATATTAAAAAATTAATTATTCAAAAAACAAACTGAAAATTTTTGTATCTTTCAGATGATAAAGTAGGATTTTTCCTACATTTTTTTTGAAAGTTGTGTGATAATTGTGAACTCTAAAACATTGGAAAATTGTATGCCATCCCAAAAAAAAAAAAAATGGTACCGTAACCGGTGAGTATAATTTATTCAAAGTTTTTACATATTGTTTTAGAGTAATATATAATTTATGTTAAAAATTTAAAATAGATCATAACATTTGCAATTAGTTATAAGTATCCTAAAACAATTTATAACTTCATTCTCGAAAAACTATAACTTGAATTTCACAATTACAAAACTTTAAAGGATTATATTTTGCTTCCATTTTAGTCTTTAAAATTACAACTTTTGCTACAATATTTCTGTATGGTATAAACTCAAATCCCTAAGTGACAAGTGGGATCCCTTTTAATATATTTTTTTTAATATTTTTTCTTTAGTTAATTACTTATCATGCATTCAAGTAATCACTCATATATCTATTTAATAAATTATAAGGTATTTTAAATCTCAAAAATATAAAAAAAAAAAAAAAATTTATTTTTCACAGTTCAAATTTATCTAAAATATTCAAACTTAAAATTCCCCTATAAAATTCTATTTTTCTCGCACATTACTCTATAATTTGGTGCCTTTCCTACAACTTTGTCGTCTGTCCCATTTTATCAAAATCACCCTAATGAAGTCCAATATGTAAATTCTCAATAATTTAAGAGTATAGTAAAAGGGTGTTCTTAACGGGGTATTATAGGTATTTGATGAAGATTCCACGTGGTTCGTTTCGGGCCGGCAAACATTTGGTTGAATCAACCTAACAACCGCCACTTTTCCTCTCACATCTTTGCTTTCACCGGTAATCAATTAAATTAATAAATATCAACAATTTAATTATACTAATTAACAATTAACGGAAATAAACAACAATAGATTATAAATGAAGATTGTACCCATAAAAATAACATCAAACCCATTTTATTCAATTTTGGCTAAATTTTTCTGATAAAAATTCAAATCAAATTTCACAGTAATTTAATATTATGAGATAGCCATGTGCAAAAACTGACATTATATATTTTTTTTTTAAAAACAACCAACTAAATCAAAACCTCTCAATCCATTCTAACAAAAAAAGAAGACAATTCAATGAATAATTTACATCAAATTTATACAATCGAAAAGTGTCAAACTTCATGTCCAAATAAAATATTTATAATTTCACACATTTTACAAATACAATGTGGGGTAATCTTGGTTCGTGTCCTTTTTCTGAAGGGGCGGGGGGTTGGTTCATTTCCATCGATTTTGTTCATTGATAAGGTGTCTAGTGAAGAACTTAAGAATTTAACTAAATTGAATTTTCTTTTTTTTTTACTTATCAATTGTTTTATATTACACAATGCTCTCAGGCGCTAACATTAACTAATACTATTATAAAACATCAACAAACTTGAAAAACTTCTTTTTTTTTAATCGTGTCCCTCGAACAATAGTATTGGAAATTTATTATCATATTGGACATTCAAGCAGATATGAATACGTAATTTTCAATAATAACATTTAAAAATTGGAGAGACTTTAGGCGGTCCTGCGGCTCCCAGATTGACACGTGTGAAGATGGATCCGTTGTAAAGGCCCGATAGGCGCCAAGGAGGTGAGCCGAAAGATTATGACTCAGAGGAGTCGAGTACGACAACTGGCAATGCATTTAATACGACTTGACTACTCATTTATGGTAATATGAGTGATGGTGACCAGATATTAATGGACGCCTGCATCTTCAGAGCCTAAGTCTATTGTCATGATGGCTAGGCATTAATGGCTATTATGCCGAATATATACGATCGACTCTCTCCGAGGAACTGTTCCTCCGAGTATTCAATGTTCAGTTGTGAGTGTCAGACGCCGATCTAAAGGATGCGAGTACATGGGGGTAGGCATAAATGCTCGGCACGACGCCGAGCACTCGTCCAATCATCCTAGCATTGAGTAGGAGAAGACTTGATTGGAGAGCACTAATTGCATAAGAGGTGTGTCAAAAATTGAATGCCCAGATAGGACTTGAAATCATTGCAATCATTGCTATTCCAGGTATAAATACTCTACAGAAAAATGAAAAAAAGTGCGCGATATTGAACCAGAATAGAATTATCTTTTATTGAGCTTGATCCTCCAATCTTAAACTGACTTAAACCTCAGAGGGGATAAGCTGGTTTACTTGACCCCCCTTTTTTCTGACCCTGTGGCTATTGCAGATTTTATTAGGCTGAAGGTCGCTGTCTCAAAACTGTTCCAGGAATTATCCCTTGTATTTGATGTCGTCTGTGGGAAGTCGAGCATCTTTCCCTGTAGCGATTATCTAATAGTGAACACTCGATCTCAGGGTGAGGGAGGAACAAGTGTACGTGTAAGGAATGCGGAGTCTGTCCGACTTCTAATGGTCCCAGAACCAGTCCCCTTGAGCCAATCAAACAGAGGGGAACATTCCTCACAACGAACTTTCCCTATGGATCAAGGCCTTGGGGGGCACGACCTCTTGGCTCATGATATCGTTGAGATGGTGGAGAAATGGATGGGCAAACAAATTAAACAACTTGAGAAGGAAAATGCCAAGGTTCGACGACGGCTCGACGATTTTGAGTAATCGACGAGTGTAAGTGGGTGGAGTCGCGAGCGGAAAGACCAAAGCTTTGGCAAAAACTCCTGGGATCCTAGGCAAAAGGTCCCCAGGAAAGGCTATCATAGGCGCTCGCCCGAGGAGCATGACCGTCAAAGCGAGTGATCGGCCCCTAGGGAAAAATCAAAATCGGGCCAGAAAGCGAGCTTGTCTCAGTGGGACCTCCGCCGTGGGATACCAGAGAACACCAGGGCTGCCAAGTCCCAAGCAGATTCCACACCCAGGGGGCCACGAGAAGGAAGTCCCTGAGGGGATCCCCGGATGTGCCTCAGTGCACATCGCAAGCTTGAGCCCTAGGGTGATGTCGACAAAATCATTTCGTTGTTCGTTCGGGCTATTAGGGAGACCGAAATGTCGAAGAATTTTACCGTTCCACGGTTCAAAATTTATAATGGAAGGACAGATTCCGGGGGTCACTTGAGGCAGTTCAAACAGTTGATGTCCATCTACGACATCGATCAACGGGTGTTGTGCCGAATTTTTTCCATGAGCTTAGGGGACAAAGGCATAAAGTGGTACGAGAACTTGGCGTCTAAGAGCGTCAAGTCCTAGAAACAATTGACGGAGCTCTTTATAGCTCGATTCATCACTAGCAGTAAAAAGCTGAAGGACATCGGCGCCCTATTAAGGCTTAAGCGGAAAGGATGGGAGTCTTTTCAGCAATACACCATCTGGTACTGGGAGGAGGTCAACGAGGTGGAAGCGTGTTCGGAGGCAATGGTCGCAACATCATTTAGGCTGGGGTTGTCCCGGGACACCGATCGAAACAAGTAACTGACCAAGAAGGCTCCAGCGGACATGAAGGACTTGATGACCTGGATCAACAAGTACGCCCGAGTGGAGGAAGAGTCCAGCATGCCCGAGAACCGAGTCCCGGTGCCGAGAAAAAGAGAAAAGGAACAACCAGCCCGAAGGGGGTCACCTATTCCACCCCCAAATCGCTTGTCCTTCCAGAGGGTGAGCACGGTCTTTAAGGAACCCATTTACAAGATGTTAAACAAGATAAAATACAAGCCCTATTTTAAGTGGCCCCCTAAGATGCAAGGAGACCCATCAACGAGGGATTCAACATCCTAGGGTTCTTATCATAAGGATGTCAGACATCTAACAGAAGATTGTAGGGTGTATAAATTCTTCCTGGAGCAGCTGGTACGAGAAGGGCATCTTAGAGAATTGATCGATAGAGGGGCTCTAGGAGGATCAACGAGGAAAGGGACCGAGTCATCTGCTGAAGTGGCACCCGTGATTGATGTCATACATGCCTGCACCGTGATAAGGCCGAACTATAACTCTCTTCGCGCTGAGCTGTAGAGGGTCTCTCAAGCAATAAGGGTGGAAGAAAGGGGTGAAGAGTGACCCCCCCCCCCCAAAAGCCACAATGTAGTACATAGATTATTCAGTTTTCTGACGTCGACCTGGGCGGGATAGTCCTTCCCCATGAAGACGCATTGGTGATCACTTTGCAGGTCAACAAATTTGATGTAAAAAGAATCTTGGTAGACTCAGGCAATTCTTCCAAGGTGATGTATGACCACCTTTTCTGTAAAATGGGGTTCTCACAAAGAGATCTGTAACCTATAAAGACCACCCTCATAGGCTTCAATGGTTCTAGCACCCTCCCCCTTGGGAAGATCACTCTTATGGTACGTGCAAAAATTGTCATTATCCTAGTTGAATTTGTAGTAATAGACTCCGACTCCCCATACAATGCTATTACGGGAAGGGCATGATTGCATGCGATGAAGGCGGTTCACTCGTCCTATCATCAAAAGGTCAAGTTCCCTACCCTGAAGGGCATAATGAAAATCCGGGGTGATCAAGCGTCGGCGAAAAACTGTTTCTACGCCACGGTGAAGACTAGAGTTAACGGCCAAAGTCAAGAGCGTGATCCTGAAGCCTTCACCGTTCGGTTGGTCGGGGTTAGATGAGCCTATTAAGGAATTGGCCGACCGATCTACAGAAGCCTTGGTGAAAGTTCTCCTGGGCCTAGATAGCGATGA